TATTTGAGTCAGCAGATGAACACTTCAAGTCCCATATGTCAGACATATGTCACTAATAACAGACTTTGTTACAGACCAAGAGGTGGCTTCATATCAGTCTTACTCTAAATACAGAAGTCCCTACTTATTTTTTTATCCAGAGCTGACTCTGTTGAATTCAATGTATGTCCAAGTAAAGCAGAAGTGAAAACAAGAGTTTGGACTTAAGGAATAGGCCATTCACTTATAACTGTAAACAGAAAAAATAATGTATATATGCATAAAATCACATAGAATAACATACATGTATAATATACAACACTCAGTCTTTGCGGTAGAGATGCTGTAGCTGTGATTGAAATGGCCCTTCCATTCTTAAACCTTATTTTTCATCACCTCTCTTTCAGCCTCAGTGGTAGTTTTCTAAGAAATATTTCATGTTCTGTCTCAACAGTTTTCTGACAATGTATGTCCCTTTTTTGCAGCCATCTAGGCCTGAATAAAAAAGAACCTTTAGCCACTTAAGACATTTTGAAGATCTGTCTGTCTGTTTCTGTCTTTCTTTCAGCATTTCCTATTTAGGCACATACATGGTCCTGAATTAATAGCTAGGGTTTGTCATGCTGGAAGAAATTTGGTTTTCAAGCAACTGTTATGAACATTTAAAAGTATGTCCTGTTCCTGCATGGTACATTATGTTCTTTGTTGCTTTAAGCACGTACTAATGTTCTGAATAGTCATAGCTGCAAATATTTATTTGCAAGATCATTCTCCTAGCCACCCATGGATCTAGTTGACTTGACAATCAGTAGAGGGATAGATTTATAGCTGAAGACCTTTCTAGAGGTGATGTTAGAAGACTTATAAACCCATCTTACAAGCTTTGACCATATGATCAGGAGGTGCTCTACTTATTCTCTTGATCCTAGAACAACCACTCCCTGAAACTTTTTAACTTGTTTATATGCAGAATAGATTATTAAATTGTGATGTTTATGTAAATCCAAAGAACAATATTGTAGATATATAGGTGCATCATGAGATTGCAGAGTCTAGAAAATTAAAACTGAAGTGACAGTAGCAGAATGTAGTATAGGGCTGCAATGGTCTTCGGCTAAATTCATGACTTGTATAACTCCATTCATGTAACTTGTAGCTACTGAAATTACGCCAGGGTTGTGCTTGGTTCAATGTGACTACTCCCATCTGATTTTTAAAAGCCAAGCAGAGTTGGGCCTGATCGTTATTTGGGTGGGTGATAGCCAAGGGGAAACCAGTTTGTATAACACATGTACTGTATCTTTAGTGCATCAGAGAGTTATTGTTGGGTGGCTTAGGTGACAATAGACAGAGAGTTTTCTTTTAGCATGATAGGTTACACTGCTGCTTTCAGATACCAGAAGTCTGCAGTTAAATTTCTTGGTGAAAACAAGGGTGTACAAGAAAGGATAAGCTCATTTAGTATTTTGCAGAATGTTCCATTCCTCTACTCTATATTTGCCATATCAGGGCAGGTTTTGCAATTTTTGTTTAGTTGTGCCAGATATATTTTACATGTATTTATTAGATGAGTTTATTATTATTATTTATTATTTATTTATTGGCGATATCATATTTTCATCATAAGCACCAATTTTCAGGAGTTTGCCACTTTCACAATAAATAAATAAATCTGTGCTGAAGTGGCTAATATTTGTCGGCTCAGAGGTGAGTATTATTTTGAAAACTAAAAGCATAAAAAATTGTTTGAGTTTTTACTACTGGGCAAACAAAACATTTGTATTTTCTGATTAATTACTGAAATACATTATTTGTCCATTCCTATTGTAATTATTAATGGTTAATAAAATTTTAAGCAACTAATTTCTTTAAGTATGTAAATTTACAATTTTTAATTAAAAAAAATCTATGCAGTGGTTTCTGTAACCACAGTACATCTTCCTCATTGCAGATGCCACTTCTCTTACATCCTCATTTTCAGAAGCCTAGGAAAATATAGGCATCTAACAGGTGCCCCCAGAAACTCAAATCCAAACACTCCTGAACATTTGGAATCATGGAGAATCCAGATCCATATTTTGTGGGTTGAGTGCATCACTGTTGAAAAAGAGAACATTTAATTTCCAGACTTTTGAGCAGTTAAATTTACAATTATAGCATTTAATTTAAGATAAAGTACGTTTCTGGAGTCAGTGTCAGAACAGAACTGGATCCTTTGGATAAGATTTCTCATGGCATTTTCCAAAAACTTCTTTTATGTCAGATGGCATTTACAGTTTTAACGGTTTTGAGAGCAGTAAAAAAATTACTTAGAATATTTTTGAATAGCCTTCATCATATAAGTTGTTCCCTGTTAATCTCAACTACATAGCCCATAAAGCTTGAAGAACTAGAATGAGATACAATTTTTATTCCCTCCCCCCATAAAAAAGTTGTGTGATGATTTGTTTTTCTGATCAGAAAACTGGGAAATACCAAAGAAAATTCCTTGTGCATATGTAGGAAGGTGCCAGAGTCTTCTCCAGCGAGGAAATCAGCTGTTCTTAAATTTTTTCTTTTCTTTTTTTTAAATTTTGTTTGTGACTTTTTCTGGCTTGCTGAAGCATATCCCCATAATCTTCAGAAGCCACAGCAAATTCCCAGTGCCACAACAACACTATACAGCTGGAGAGAGGAAAACAGAGCTGATCAACTGCAGGCTTCCCCACTAATGAAATGAGCCAGCAGGCTGCTCTGTATTTTACGTACTGTACTGTTCCTGCCTATGTGCTGCAGGGCCCCAGGGTGTCAAATATAGGGAATTTTTACCTCTGTAACTAATAACTTTTTCCCCCGGGGTCCAATCTTGCAACTGCTCTATGTATGGAATTCCCTGCATAAAGGTAGTGGGAGAGCTGTGTCTTGAAGGCATGGTAGGAGTGGGCATTGATCACATGGCCTCTCCTGATAGCACAGTTAAAGGTCCAATCTATTTATATGTCTTTTCTGAAGGAGATATTCATAAAGAGAAAATATAACATACAGTAACATATATAATGTAAGTCTGCAATTTGCAGCCATGCTACCTTGTATTTTGTTCCTTTCAGGCAGGATCAGGCTTGGCCAGTATTTGTCCTGGAGGACCTTCATGACATCTAAGTGCACTGCAGAAAGTGGAGTCAGTATTTGAGTAGGGGGCACTGTTGTATCTGATCACTGCTGACCCAATGCCTCTGTGTGGGGTAGCAGGGATCTCTGGTGCTGGAAGAGCTGTCTTTTGGGTAGAATGTAAAATAGATATCTAGGCCATTTGTGTTCAGTCTCAAAAGACTCCTTGGGTGCAGGAACTTGATGGGACTGGCAGTGAAAGGGGAAAGTCCCAGAAGCAAGGGAAGGGACATTTGCTGAGGGAAACCAGGTAACTAATCTCTGGCACTAAATGGCTAGCATTCCCCAGCACTGAGGATTCAACCTGAAGTGCGGACTATGTGGAGTCTCTTTCATCTCCATTGCAGCAGCAAATTGATACTCAGCATTTTCAACAGCAGCAGTTGTTGTCAAAATGCAAAGGAGTACAGCTGTTATGGAGTATGGAGACCTGCTCGCCATGAGTGGAAGGTCTGTCCCGGCAGCGCCCACACTCCAGGTTAAATCCTGGGAGCTAAAAAGTGCTGTCTAGTAAGCACTCTTCCTTCTCATCTGCGTGTCAGAATGTCTCAGAGGAGAAGAGCTAACTGGTGTCCCTCAGAAAGTGTCCCCTCTCTCACTGTTAGGACTGGCCACCTTTGCTGCCAACCCCATCAGGTTCCCCTGCCTGTAGAGGTAGGTGATTGGCATTTGTGTCCTGACTGAATTTCAGTTGTGGTCATTATATTCTGTCTCCTTAAATTCAGTTGGATATAGTACTTTTCTTTAATTCCTGAACTGCTGCGAAAGTGTTTCTGGGCACAGTTATGATAGAAGTCTGTAAAACCATGACTGTGTGGAGAACATAAATAAGAAAATGTTATTTACTCCTTCTTGTAACACAAGGATTAGGGGTCACCAAATGAAATTAACAGGCATAAAGTTTAAAACAAACAAAAGGTTGAACCTCTCTAGTCCAGCACCCTCAGGACCTGACCAGTTCCGAAACAGAGAATTTTCCGGACCACGGGAGGTCAATATTGTCTAGCATCAGCACCAATATGGTGCTGCTTGTGGGCTGTTAGAGGACATTTAGGGGTAAATTAGAGCTTATTAACAGTACAGAACACTGAGAGCCAGGACTAGTGGCTATAAACAAACTTCATGGGACCACAGGAAATTTGGCGCCACCAATGAAAAGTGGTCATCCAGCTAACTAAAATCATGCTGGTCCATGGATGTTTCTGGACCAGAGAGTTCTGGATTAGATAGGTTCAACCTGTAGTTAATACAATGCACTGTCAACCTTTGGAACTCTTTGCCAGGGAATGTTGTGAAGGCCAAAACTATAACAGGATTCAAAAAAGAACTAGATAAGTTGGCAGAGGATAGATCTGATGACTGTTAGTCACAGTGCACCAGATGCAAAACCATGGTCAGAATTGCCCCTAGCTTCTGTTTGCCAGAAGCTGGGAATGGGCAACAAGAGATGGATCACTTGCTAATTACATTTTCTGTTCATTCCCTCTGAAAAAAGTCAGCATCACCCACTGTCAGAAGACAGGATGCTGAGGTAGATGATCCATTGGTGTGATGCAGAATGGCCATTCTTATGTTCTTGTGAATAGTCTTGCTGCACTTTAGAGATTAACAAAAAATGTAGATGGTATCATGAGCTTTCGTAGGCACAAGCCACTTACATTATCTCCCATCCAGAGACTGCTGAGTTTCAATGATAAATAAGTAAAATAGAATATATGGGAATCCAGTCAGGATGAAATGTAAACAAAAATAGTAGCATTAAAACATTTCACTTTACAGCAGCATGAAATTAAAGAAAATGCAATTCTTTATAAACATCAGTGATTTAAGTTCCACAATACACAGCTGATGAGTCTATTATCTCCATTTTACAGGTGAGGAAACTGAGGCACAGCAAGTTTTGAGTGACTGTCTAAATTCACACAGTGAATCCTTGGCATAGCTGAGAAGAAAACTCTGGAATCCTGAATCACAGGCCCACACTCTAACCAGTAGGCCACGCTGCCACTACAAATGTAAGTTGTTATTAATGTTGGTTTCTCTTTCACACAAACTGTCATCTATTATATTGCCACATTTGCTAATAGTTACCAAAGCTATTTGTTTTAAACAGTGATTTGCGCACTCTCAACTAATGTTCTCTCTTTATTTAACTGTGCAACAGTTAGATCTTGTAAGTAAGATCTTGGCAACAGCAATAATACTTCGTCATCTGAAAGCACTGTGTAAATGTTATAGTAAGTTACAGCAGTGCCATAAATCCAAAATTTGGAATGCGTCTAAGCAGGGCTTGAAAAGTTCATTCAGCTTAGGCCAGTAGAAAACATACCTGAGTGACTGTTAAAAGAGTAAAAATTGCAGATTTAAGGGTCAGTTTCTAGCCCTTATGTTTGTGAAGATGATTGTTCAAATGTAAATTTAGTTTAAATCAAGGTTCTGTTGATTTCATACGTCTGCAGCCTTACAGCTGTGTCACTGCTGAAAGTTTTTGCCAAACTACAGAAGGGAAAAACTGACCACTCTTGACAGTTGTTGCTGCAGGTGGGCACCCTTGTGAAGCTGACACGGATCAGGTCAGCTTCCGTCTGAGGCTCTTTGGCAAAAGCTCTGAACAGCAGCAGTTGTGGCAGACACTGGAACTGTGCACAAGGAAGGACCAACCAAAAGTGGAGAATGTGGAGGAGAGTATATTAATGGAGATACCCATCACTGCTGCTCTTTCAGCAGCTGCAGCTCTGGGGTGGGAGAGGCAACCCAAGAACAAGGAGAATTTTCCTAATAGTCAAAGGGGAGCTGGGTGGCTTTTATTTATTAAACACTTACTAGCTGGAGGCATCAAAAGATAAAACTGCCCAACAGAATCCAGAGGTGGCCAGTTGGCAGTGGCTTGGCTTCTACCTGGAGCATTGATTGAAATATATTCATAGATGTTAAGGCTAGAAGGGAACATTGTGACACTAACCTGACCTGCACACACAGGCTATAGAACCTCAAGTGGTGATTCCTGCTTCAGACCCATATTTTCTGATTGAGCTATAGCATCTCTCTTAGACATCTACTCTTGATGTATAAACTTTTAAGTTCTAGAGATTTTACCGCAACCCTAGACCATATATTCCAATGGTTAGTTATCCTCCTTGTTAAATATTTACTCCTTTTTTCTAGTCTGAATGTGCTGACTTTCAGATTCTAAACACTAAATCTTGTTATGCTTTAGTCTGCTGGATTAAAGAGCCCTCTACTGTCAGAAAGCGGTTCCCCATGTAGGTACTTAGTCCTTAGCTTGGTGCTCTGGCTGCTAGATGTCTGCTGAACTTCTTTGTCTGTCAGAGTGCAGTTGAAGGGTCGGGGTGAGCGTACAGGTGAAGTTAGCTTGTGGATGGACAGGATGTTGTAGGGATGTAGGATGGAAAGCTGATGGATGTGTCAGAAAAGAAAAGCATCACACTTTGGAAGAGAAATTTTTTTCATAGGTAGGCAAGGTGGAAAAGAAAAAAAATACGTAAAAAGATGGAGATCCCACTGGAAAAAAAGGAAAGAGAAAATTATTGGGGTGAAAGAGAAGCATTTGAAAGAGATGTGAAAACAATAGGCAAAAAAGAGAAAAAAGTTAAATGAGCTAGTAGTAATGAGAAGACAATACTAAAGTATGTGAGACAGAGTAAGTTATGTTAAAAATATGCCAAGAAGATTAACAATGTTACAGTTTAATACAGGACTTAATAAACAGCAAACTGTTGTTTTAAAATGAAGGGAATGTGGCTTTACATGTGTATATTCACCCTGACTAATAGAAACTTAGGGCCATCTTTTTAAAAACTGTATATATACCTTCAGAGGAATAGCCCTTTGGCTCCTAGGTCACTTTGATTATTTTAAAAATGTTGTCTTCAGTGATCACATTAGTAGGGGACTTGTAAATTTTTCAGCCTATGGCCTGCACATGTGCAAATCTGGGGGAAATTTGAATCTCAGCTTTGGTACGTGGGCCCATCACCCCTCAGTATTAAAGTCCTAGCCTTCAGGATCCAACAAAAGTGAAGATAAGTTAGAAGGGAGAAAGCATTTCTTAATACCCAGCTATCTTCATTAATAGCAAAGGGACCAAAGAATTGAGCTTTCCAAGTAAATCTGTCTTTGTGTAAATGTTATTTTGATTCTCAAGTTTGTTCTGGTGTGAATACTTTGCTGTAGTATTGAAATGATATATTGGCTCTTCTGTAGAAAGTATGTTCTGGTGGTTAGGCTACAGGATTCAGTTATTGATCTGTCTGTTTCCAACTCTGCTACAGATTCAGCATGCAACCTTGTGCAAGTCATTTCATTTCCTTGAGTTTATTTAACTGTAACATGGGACTAATAATTCTCTACCTCACAGAGTATTAGACTCTTACTTCAGCAAGGCGTGTACAATCCTTTGAGATAGTTAGAAGCAAAGGGTTATAGAACAGAAAGGTGTTATTAATCTTTGGGTGTGTCTAGACTACAGGGTTTTGTTGATAAAAGTGGACTTTTGTCGACAAAACTATACCTGTGTCAACACTACCGCTGAGTTCTGTCAACATAGCGTCCACAGAGCTCGGCAGTTTTGTCAACGGCAGTAAACCTCATTCTATGAGGAATAATACCGTTTGTCGACAGAGTTCTGTCACCAGAAGGCGTTATTGCATATACACTGTCCTTTGCATCTATGCCTTCATGTTGACAAAGCAGCTTGCTTTGTCGACAGAACTGGATGCAGTCTAGACACTCTTTGTCGACAAAAGCCTGTAGCCTGTAGGCATACCCTTAGACTCTTGAACAGTTATTTTTAGAGAACTTCTTTGTCTGTCAGAGTACGGCTAGACTGCTGAGATTTTTCGGGATACCTCCGGTATCCCGAAAAAACTCTGTTGCATCCAGAGAACACATTTGCTCCTCTGCTTTTTTTTGCGGAAGAGCAAACGCGCTCTTTCAGAAGCCCCTGTATTCTTCATTCCATGAGGAAGAAGGGGCTTTCGAAAGAGGTTTTTTTTCCAAAATTTGGCCTAGTCTAGACGGGCCAAATTTCAGGAAAGCCTCTTCCGACAAAAGTATAGGAAAAAGATGCACAAAATGCAGAGCGCGTTTTGTGTATCTTTTTCCAATAGATCCTCACAGTCTAGATGTACCCTCGGATTCCCAGTCTGTCTTGTATTTTTTATTAACTTGTAAAATAAGTTTGATATAATGCTGGTCAGTAATATTATAAGAGTACTA